GTATAAAACTAATATACATCAGTACAGTAGTAAATGTCAATGGTCACTTATCCAGGATAATGTTTTGTAAGCTCTGGGATAATACAGGAGTGTTCTCTGCCCACAGCCCTTTTTTTTTCATGGTAATAACTCTCCTCTATAAATCAATGCCAGAACATTAAGGGTATCCCCGTCCCACGAAACCCAGGTGTAGAGCAAATATTCGCTGTTGAATCCGACGATGTTACTTTAACATTAAGCACACGCCAGTCTGTTAAACATAGCCTGAACATAGTAAACGAATACTGCGTAGATAAGGTGCAAAGTAAACTGAAATAAATCTTATGCTTTAACTAAACAACAGCTTTAATACAAGAAAGATTTGTTTGGTTTACACTGGACCAAACCCCCAGTAAAAATACTAGGCCTATACTACAGTATCCAAAACCTCACAGAATATAACTGGAATCTCCCAACTCAGAAAATACTGGAAACAATAGATAGATAGGAAGTAAATCTCCCTCATAGCAAAAACCCAGGAAATTAAAGAGTTAGCCCTAGCCAAATTAGTATATGTAGGCCAAGTTAGACTTTAACAAGCACCTAACAGCCATATGGACACAATTTACATGCACACTTCTACAGTTAGACCACCCGAAGTTTACTTTATCATTTATGTCTTACAACATCACAACATACTTTTTGACAACACAGTCGGAGTTTTAAACTCAGTAACTACACCAAATTACTCCAAGTTCCACCTAAAAAATCTCATACCAGACCTAAGGAGTCTCAACGCTTACTTATCCGAAACTTTATTGAAGCTATCCACAATAGACTGGAATAAAGTATGGTACAAGGTAGATTCCAGACCCTTTGAAGCATTTCGACGCGACTTAGACAGGAATATTGCTCACGAAATTGTCCCTGTAAAAATTAGATTAAAAAAAATTAAATTACATCAGTTAACAACTGCCCAGTTTGTGCCTGTATTGAAATTCTACGACATGCTGTATATGGTTGTGCTATGTCTGCAGCCTTATGGAGTAAATTTGCATTCATCTGTGACATCAGATATGTCGTTTTTAGTACGATCCTATTCTGTCATTCTATTCCTGTAAATCTCAATTTGTTTCATCTTTCTGTACTTACTAAGGGAATTTAAAGAGCAGATCTGGGTGTCCAGATGCTGGGGAATAATTCAGCATATACGAGATGACCTAAGTGTAATCCTAAAATAGATTAGGAAAACTTTCGCATATCGCCTAAGAGCCGATCGTCTTCGCCTCAGCGAGGAAGATTTCTAAAAAAGTTTGTGCCATATTTGGATAAGAACCGATAGAAATACAATGAATAGCCAGCAATAATGATCACGCACTCAATGTACATGTAATTGGTAAGTGTTTTTTTTTCCTTTCCCACTCGTTAACAAAGAAGAATGAAGACTTATTCAACAACTGCCTCAGCAAACAAGGTAAACTCATTTATATTATTTTGTCTTTCACGACCAGGCGATGCATCTTTGCAAGTTCACCTCCATGGGTGTAACAAGCATAGAAACCTGCGAGGTCTTACATATAAGATCTGTATTTCTAAAAAGCCAAGCGGTGCGTCCCTGCAAGTTAACCTCGAGGAGTGATTAAGCATTGAGACCAGCGAGGCTATAGTTCTAAGGTTGTGACCCCGGCTTTTCACTCGAAAGTAATCCAAGCAACTACACACCAATAAGCGTGCTAAACAGTATAATCAAATTAATGGAGAAAATAATCAAATCAAGACTACTTTTCCATCTCTAATCCAATAAACTCCTCTCCGACACAGAAAACGTGTCACGCAAACAACGACAAACAATTAACCATTTAGCCAGATTAACAGAGTCAATACACAAAGGATTTAATCGTAACCAAGCAACAATCGGTGTTTTCCTGGATGTCAGGAAGGCTTTCGATTCTGTTTGGCATATAAACTATGTAACTACAAAATACCTATCCCAATTATTAGATGGATCTCAAGCTTCCTAACTAATAGAACCGCGAAAGTCAAGATTAACAGCAATATGTCACCTTCATTCCTTCTTAAAGCTGGTGTTATATATTATTTGTAAACGACTTAAACTTCCCAGAGACTCCCGAAACAATAGCTTCACAATAGGCCGACGACATCGCTGTATGGACCACGTCACGCAACCCCCTACTTGCAGTAAACAAAATACATGCTACTCTGAACCACATTGTCACGTGGTGCAACACACGGCGCGTGCTGCTTAATCCACAGAAAACACAAGCCATTATCTTCTACAGCAGGCTTAAGCAAAATAAACAAACAAACAAAAAAACGCATAAGTTATGTTTTAAAAAAATCAGTGGCTTCGCCAAAGGCTGCAACGCAAAAACGATAATTACGATATACAACGCCTATATTAGACCCATTCTGGAATACGGATGCCCAGTAACATGCCACAACATATTTACAAAAAAACTAGAATCTACCCAACTAAAAGCAATACGATTAGCCTACTGTCTACACCCCCGGCTCATACTTACACAATAAATAATAAGTAAATCAGCGGCATTACAAACATGCTTCTCAACTCTAGCAAACAAATACCACGATAAGTCTAAAAACAGAAATAACCAATTCACAAAACTCGCCAATATTGCAGAAACACCAGCTTCACGAACCAAATTCACCTCTTCCTCTAAACCACATCATCTCACAAAACAAACAACACTCATTCCAAAAACCACCTTAAGCGTTTTACCTTATGCCCCCCCCCTTTTTTTCAGGTTGCTGACCGGAACGAACAACGGACCAAAATGTTAAAATCATTCAACTTGTGTTCTCTTTTGTATTGTCTTTTGTGATGCAATAAACTTTGGTTCTGGTCTCGTGTCCTTTCTGAGACGGGGTGAACTGGCTCTCAGGGGCAGGCCTCGGTTTTCTGGACCTGCTGCTTGTTTTTAGTTGACCAATCGCCAGGCTTGAAGCTCCAATATACTTCCCTTCAATTCATAATCAAGAAAGCAGCCGCTCTTTCAATCCTCTTCACGGGTTTCCCAAACGCTTGAACCACGGGAAATCAACAGCTCAGTGAAACCATTATTATATCCGATAAAGTTATCGTAAGCCAGGGAAGAGAAATAACAGTAATTTCTGAACATACATAAGTTTTCTACTAAATCTAAAATAACTACAAAGTCAGAACAAGGAAAAATTCAAGAGAGGGGCATAAAACTACCGCAAATATTTTTCGGGTCGTGTCGTGTAGGAAAATTTGTTTGTTTGGAGTTAAGCATAAAGCTTTCAAAGGGCTATATATGCTCTGCTCACCACAGGCATCGAAACCCAGTTTCTAGTGCTGTAAGTCCGTAGACATACCGCTTTGCCACTGGGGGGCTGTAGTGTATAATCTATGTAACGACATCGCATAACCATAATTCTAACAGCTTACAGATTGTAGAAAGCATCTTGTACAAAACCAGAAGGTAAGATTTGTTTCTATACCCAGAAGGAGTTAATGTTGCTAAAGATAAAGGACTAAGCAAAACAACTGGCCATATGATTAAAAATATATTAAGTCATAAGGGAGAATAGAGTGAACTTTCAATATAATATCCAAAACTTGTATGAAATATTAGTTGTAATATTACGTCGAACATGAACAAATAGAAAGAAACAAGCAGCTACAAAAGAGGCACGTATCACATGATAACACACCACAAGGTGGGTAGTTACGGAATGTGCTCTGGTTTTTGAGGTACTGACGGAAGTAAGACCCACACTGTATCCATTTTAACCTCAGTTTCGCAGGCCTCACATTCTAATTCCTAATTTCCAACATTAATATATCAGTGAAAATTGATTTTAGGTAGATAACTAATTAAATATTTTAAATTAAAATGTGTAATAAATATACAAAATATGTATGTAAATTTTTGACAAATACTATAAACAAAATCATAAACATAATAAGGAATAGTTCAATTTTTGTAGGGGAAATTAATGGAATTACTGATTCGGACTGTATCTTGTATATATGTATTAATGTAGATGTATCACTTTCCCTATATAAGACGTGCTTCTATGACAGTATCATGGATGGGAGCTATACTAACAATTTAGGTGTGGCTTAGTAATACCTTAACATCGTTGTATTTATGTCCAGACATCATTATCGGGGCTGGACAGTTTTACTGTCTCCCCCAATAATGTATGGTATTCCATATATATATGTGTGTGTGTAATCTCAAAAATGCTATGTTGAGTTTAGATTCGGCGATTATGTTGGCCAAGGAATGCAGCAGAAGTCTTAGTTATGCTCATATTTTAGTGTTAGTCCTTTTCTATAAAAGTAGAAATGAAAGTATACTCTCGAAGTTATTAGTACTTCTGTAAATCCAAATAATTCAATTCTCAGAGAAATACTTCTTTGCCACTAAATCTTTTCCCTAGTAACAGACGTGCTCGCTTACGATTGTCAGTGTTAGCAAATTATGATAGCAGATGTATTTGAACAATCGATCAGAGAAGCGGTTTTAATAACGATGTTAATGCTAGCAGGACATCTAATACCGTGCCCCACTGCCAGTTAAATAGATCCTACCTCCTACTCATTGTCTTGTGGTCACCTCACAAATCCCATGATAAATGTTTTGTTGTGGAATTTTGCATATCCAAATAAATGAAATATTCTACAGATGTGCGTGTGGAAATTCTAATCAAATTCAAGTTATATTTACAAGAACGTTACTTTGAAGAGGTTTTAATATCTTATTAGTTATTTTAACGCTAATTTCTTAGAATTAATATTTGATACCATATGACTGTTATTTGTTTTGCTTCAACACATAGTTACACAATGGGCTATCTGTTCTGTTCCCACCGCAAGGATCGTACCCCTAATTTAAGCGTTAAGTACAAGCTTATGGCACCATTAAACATCTAGCAGTCTAGCAAATGTAAAAACTGCACAATTTTGAGACTTAAGATAAATAATAAGATAATAAAGTACTTTTACTTACCACATGCGATTAAAATGTAAGGATCAGCTACCAACAGTTTTAATGGTGATGGCTGCAACATTGTCTGAGAAAGGAGAAAAGAGAAAACTTTAAATGATTAAGTAAATCTTTGTCATTCGATGCGTAATTATTAGGCGATTAACTAAAAACACAATTAAGAACTGAAGATATTTAAATCTCATTTGATAAAAGAGAGCTTTTTTCTTGTCTTAAAAATCAGGAAAATAATTTTTATGTAAATGTTAGCAAGAAGGAATTTAAACTATTTGACATTATCCCCGAGAGCTGAATCACCAAGTTTAATTAATGCCGATTCTTTTAAGGTAAGTTGAAAAGTAAAGAAAAAATTAGTTTCGCTTTGAAAGTAAGTAAATTTGTAACTTCCATAGGCTGCATTCACCGATCCATGATATTATTTAGTTAAGGTGAATAGCATATAGTAAGTTGAGAAATCAATATTATATTGTTAACCTACATAGTTATGGAGTGTCATATATCTGTATTTAAGCAAAGATAAGATAGGCCCTCGGCCGTTTTCTTTACTCAACATCTGGATTGTCCAAACGTTACGCAACTTTGTAGTAAATAAGCAATCGCTAATAGCGGAGGTACCAAAATTACACAATAATGCATCCTAATTTTTATAAGTAAAAATATAAAACACACACACACAATATATATACAGGAATGTTAATCAATACTTTTGCCACTAAAAAACACATACAAATAACAGACATGAAACAAAAAGATGACCCTACCTCTGGAGCAACTCGAGGTTGTAAGATGATAAACTGCAACACTAAAAACAAAGGTTTAGTATTCTGGTCATAACAGTCGATATAACAGACAATTGTAGTTATTCCTTTTGTTACAATTATGGCTCTTAACAAAGTTTTGATAGTAAACTTGAAAATAGCAAAAAAGCTTATATCAAAAAGTATGCTTTTCAAATATAAATTTTCGAATCTGGAATTCGATAATCTTAGAAACATTTTGTGAATACGAAAATAAAACAGCGAGCATGTTGTGACAGTATTCCGGGTTAAAACTAGTTTAATTGATTATAGCATTATACAAAACAAGCTTTAAATATAAGAGTTGAGTAGTAACTGTGTTCTAAACGCTTGATAATCTGTTAGATGTGTCGCTAGGTGCTTAAGAGTCGGGGCTCGGGCCCATAAACCCAACCACGAGATCATGGTTATCTGTTCTGATATTAAGACACCAACTGTGGATACGAGGCAAGGGTCCCGTGTGTCAGTGTCGCATTTTTAATCTGTTATTATCGAACAGAAAGACAATGTGGGAATATTAAAGATCATTATTCGGAAAATATTCTTCTTCTCCCAATCTCTATGCTGTAATGATATAAAGTTTACTTTTCATAGAATATGATATTGCGATAAATAAACAACATTAGGCTAATAAAACATACGAATATGTACATGAACCCGCAAAAGAGTAATAATTAGTCAAATCATAAAAAATACTTTCAAAAACTGTCGACATAAATTTAAGGTTCGAATAATTTCAAACAAGTTCACCACAATTTAACTTTTACAGTTTTAAACCACACCAATTATTTTAAAACTTTAGATGAAACAAAATCACAGAAACGTTTGCACCCCCACGCAGAATTTTTTTAGGAAAACATCTGACAGCAAAATAGTAAAAACAGAATGTGCTTGAGAATACATTTTATACCCAGATACTTTGTTTTATGTGAAATCTAAAACATTGATACAAATGAAGTGAAGAAAGGTATATGAATTAATAACCTTCGTCTGAAATCCTTAAGTCAAACACTTCAAGGAATGAAGCATATGGTGACAAATACGTACAATAATACTTTAAGCAAATAAAACCAACTCACTAACAAGTTTTGTAAATCTCCAAGATTAACTAAATTGCAGACATTTCGTTGCAAATGCAGATAAGAACTGTTAAGTATGAAATTTAGAAAAAAAAATTATTCATAAACTCTTTAAAAAAAGAGATAAGAACATTCCTCTTCGGAGTATGTTGAGAAAGGTATTTCCTAAGCTAAGGTTAAGATTTTCATTAACTTAATACATGCTTTAACTACAAAATGTCTCGCATATTAGCCAAAACTAATAAGAAACATTTAATAAAGAAACCTTCAGTTTTCTAAGTGTTACGTTACGATAGTTATTTTCTTTATTAGCGGCTGTCACTATCATTCTATAATCAATATCTAAGAAATATGCGATATTATGCTTAGATCATCTTTATTAACACTCTAAAGTTGCAAATGTGCACGTTTACTTTAAGTTTTAGAACGTGTCAAAAATTATCTATGAATAGTTTAAAAGAATGCACAAGCTTTATGTTTACCGCTATTGGACTAACAGATCTTCTAGTTCATTCTTCGAATCACTTTAGTTACATGAACTGCAGATCAGACACTTATTGATATGACATCGAAACTCACCAACATTAAGAAAAATCAGTCCAGCTAAGATCAGAAATGGAGATGCCTTTCCCACGAAGTTGTACATAACGCCGCCGAATGGGTAGCCAACTGTCACAAACAAACATAATGTGCATTTTCGTATTGAAATATTAACAAACTCCTAAACAAGTGTTACTTGTATGTCATTTACTTAGACAAAAATAAAGTTGGTGAAGCTACAAAACTAGTCGGACATGCAAGCTCAGCAATTCAATCGATAGGTTGATATAAGAGGGATATTCTTCTGAAGAAATTGACATTATTAAAACAATTGACGTTTAAATGTCCTTTTCAGGACTATCACATCCTGCGAAAGAGAAAGCAATGATTGCACAAATCACCTCTAATGATTAAGAGGTTCCTCACTTCTAATATTTACAATGAACCTCAGCATTATTCTATTGTCCAATCTTTCTTGCAAGTTTATTATAAATGATTAACTATAATCCTCAATCCAATACTTCAAGTTTTGTTAATAAATGTTTCAGTATATGTGAGAGTATTATTTAGAGTTTCCGATTTTACTTTCATGTATTGATGATAGCATACCTATGTGGATACTTGTATTAAATGGTTAAACACATTTGTTAGAAATGTAAATACTCTGTTCATGGAGTCTAATTGAGTAGAAAATATACAAGAATTGTATGCTACCTGAAATTTACACGTCAAATCTTGAGAAATAATATCACAAACAAATTTAGTGTTTTGTATCACTATGTAAAGTGAAGGAATCAATAAACTATGTTTACAAATTTTTAAATTATGTGACATACAAAAGCTTAGTGAAAGGTTCTGATAAATCAGACTAAATATCCAATATGGTTGAATGTCCACATTGTTTGGGGATTACTTCTATCGTCTCCATTCAAGGTTAGTGACCCCGAGATAGAAAATGAAAACAAAAACGCCTATTTACAATTAGTTTTAGTATAGATCTATCAGCACATGCTTAAAGACTTGTGAAAATATCTACAAAAATGTAAGTACAATTTTCTAAAATAGTAATGGTTAAACATAACTATATGCAGATCCTTAAAATTAGGCTTTAGCAGAACAAGTAAAGGGATTGATTTATAAAGCTAAACATGAAAATTAATAAATGTCCTTTTCAGGACAATTAGATGTAAAAGTAGTTATACAATATATTTATTATAGAAATGTAAAAAATCAATTAATGATAAGTGTTTTACATATAAAACGTTAGAAAATGCAAAACTTATGTCCTGTAAGTCAAATGTAAATACACAAAAATAATCAGTACTTTAATTGTGCACTACATCAATACTTAAAAAAACAGAAATCAGCTATGCAATAATATAACAGTCTTGTTCAATATTTCTAAAAACAATACATTAGGTGTGATAAAAAATTCAGGACGAATTATATATCAGTTAGAAAAATGAAAACTAAAGAACTAATGAATTAGCAGTATTTAAATTGTAAAAGGTAAATTATTCGCTATGCTAAAATATTGGTCTCAGATATGGGATAAATTAAGATAAAATGTGCGATAAAACTACGTGACGTATGTAATAGTTGTCTCGTTATATAATGGCGTTACTTGTGACAAATTAATTATTAACTGAAAACAGTTCTATTGTCTTACATGTAACCTGTTGGGTCATAATTAAACTGAGACTACAATTTTAAAGACTTAATATCATGTTGAAACATCCTACGATAAGCTCATCATACTATTGAACTATCTGCATATAGAACCTTAGTAATACTATCAGTCTCACTCTGTCCTTTTCATATCTGTGCAAGAGTACAACTGTTAAAAGAAAAATATGCAAATTAGATGGATTATTAATTTTAAAGCTACGATTGTTACTGAAGCAAAAAGTATAAAATTGACATATTGGGACACGTTGATTTCTGTTGATTTATATCCCCCTTTTGTGGTTTGCTCGCGAACAAAAAACAGTTTGTTTGGTTTAGAGCAAAGCCACGTTGTGCTATCTGCTTTGTTCACCGCAGGGAAGCGAACCCAATATTTTAGAGTTGTAAGTCCGCAGACTTACTGCTGTCCCACCAAATTTGCAAGAAATATACCTCTGACTTTTTATTATTATTGTTGATTGTAAATCGCACAACTACAAAGTTATATGAACACAATAAGAACCTGATATGTATTGCTTTAAAAGATAATTTATTTACCTAAAACGCCTGTAGCAATGCCACCCATAGCGATGCCCATCACTTTACTCCTGTCTTTATCATCGGGGTATCTGTCAGCGACTAGAGCCATCCCTATGGCGAGTAATCATAAAACAGTTGTTTACCAACTAACGAAAAACACCAATATCTTACGCTAGCTAAATACACAATAAAAAAAACAAAAAAAACATGTACTTGTAATTATCTTAAATAAATGGGTTAACAAATTTATTTTAATATTATTAGGTCCGTTTCTATCAAGTAAAACCTTTAAATAGGTTTACGAGATACAACTATACGTTTTTTTGAGGACTTGTTTTATTGGCAAACAGAAGTTAAATTGGCAAACCTAACTGCATTTTCAAACTGTCATAAGGAACTGACCTAACATGATTATGCCATAGTAATACAGATACATTAGCTGACGATTTTGTTGTAGAGATGTTTTCCCAGAATTTTGTGTGTTTATATCTTCTACTAGAACTTCAGTTTTGAGGAGAATAATATTCCAGTCTGTGTTGAAACACTAAGACTTGAAAAGCTTCTGTATGAAGACCGATACAAAGCTTACCTCAAAACTGTATATAAGTGTAGACCATAAAATACTGAATACTTGTTGAAAATAATTCAACTGTTTTTCTTTGAGGTCTCAAACTGATAATGCCAAAGACATGTCGGTTAAAAACTTTCAAACCTACTTCCTTACCTCCAATTGCCGTGCAAGCTGATCCAATCCCTTGAACACCGCGTGCCACAAAAAGCAATGCGACGTTTCTTTCTAAAGCGAAAACTAAAATTCGAATAAAAAGATAAAAAGTTGAAATATTCTACAAGGCCTCATTTTTTGTTTTTGTATTTTTTTCTAGGTTACACAACTCAGACTAAATATAAAAATACTTCGTTTGTATATCCAAAAACCAATAATAATAACTACTATTTTAGTTGTTTTAATTTCCTGCGGAAGAGCTTACTCGGAAAAAGGCACTTGACCATAGAAAATGCCGTTTTTCATTGAAAACACAAATAAATATTTATCTAGTAATTCAAAAATAATAGAGGGAGAGAAAGAGAAAACGAGGAAGTTTATAGTACAAAATAAAAGTACAGTTGGTTTATCATTTATAAACAAACAAAAGCATAATTGTACTTACGTAAAGAGGAGATCAAAAGAGTCAACGATCCAACTAGCAACGGAATGGTGTAGCCAACCCTAAAGAAAAAATATTAAAATATACAGAAGCTCTATTTAAGACTGTAGCACACCTGTAAATTAGACACATTTGATTTTTCTCTCCGCTCCCCCTCGTGGTGGCACAGCGGTATGCTAGAAACCGAGTTTCGATACCCGTAGTGGTCAGAGCACAGATAGTCCATTGTGTAGCTTTGTGCTCAACTTAAAACAACCAACCTTTCTCTCTAGCTTCACGATGGCAGTCTACATATTGGATGGTATCTGGCAAACAATACTTCAAATCATAATTCCATAAAAGAGTATTTGATCAATTAATAACTTACAGTAAATGCCATGGTTACCGAAACACGTTCACGCGTTCTGGTAATAAATAAGCTCGAAACAGAATATCATCTAGTTTACACACACACACAATTCAACCAATTTTTAAAGTTAATGAAAAGGTTCGCTCTCATTATAGGAGAAAAGTTCTTTTCATATTTAAGAATTATTGTTAATGATATTTTATTAATAACTTTCTATAAATACTGGAATGTAATGCAAATAAGAATCCTATCAACGATAAAGTGGAGTCTTAGAGTTATTTCATCAACTTGGTATGTAATATTTTAATCAATCAGCAAGCTAATATTCAATATCTATAGTTTTATTAATTATTTATCATAAGTACTTTTATCATTCCAACTGCCAGAATCCAACTACCACAACCCTCTGATGATGGAACAGGTCCCGACACAACTTACCATCATGTCTCTTGCACAATCATGTCAAAATGTTTGACCAAACACAAATAGCTATTTGGACTTGTTTTAGGCAGGTTTAAATATCTAGGAAAAGGTACCTTTTTCATGTGATCTTAAATCACAATAAGTCATTAAAGACTCCTCAATGACTGTTGAATGAGTTTAGCTTGAAGCCTCACAGCCACCTCCATATTTCATTCTTTGGTTAATATTTATTGGTGCTAGTACAATGTGAAATGTTGAAAAACATTTAAATATTTAAAAATAATTATTTTTTACACAATTCTGAATATGAGACTATTCCCAGTCTCAAAATTACAATAAAATACAAATAACTTATTATACAAAGTATAAAACAAACAACCGATGATACTGCAAAGTCTCATACACTTAACATGTTTCAGCGTATTTTACTAGTCATCCTCAAGAGTGCAATGTGTAGTAAGGATAACATTTATTTATAGCATTACAAAATCACCAATTTACATATTAAAGAATTTCAAGCCATCTGCTGACAACATTTGTATCAGGTCGATCATCCTTATTCAATATTTAAAACTTAGTTTTTATATTTAATAATCTATTATTGAATTATGTGTTTAATTTCATTAATATGTTCAGTTAAAGGTGAAATAGTAATATTATTGTTCTAATATTTCCTCTGTGCTCATTCATTCTAAATTTTAAATTTCTTTTAGTTTGTCCTATATAAACGTTTTTATATGATATTTTATGTATTAAACCCTTTTCTACTGCTATATACTTAATTAATGTTAACTCATTGTTAATATCATTTTGTTTGCAACATAATTTTAGTATCTTATCCACATAAGAGTAAAAGACAGTAATTTTCTGAGATTTAGTGTAACAAAATTTTTGATGTGGCGGAATGAGTACAGAGTAAGGTTGGAAACTATTTTTTATCGAAAACCTTTCTTTGTAATATAAATCGATAAACAAAGTTAGCCAAGTTCTTAATATAACTAAAGATGAAATTTATTTAATGAAAATTATTGGTATACATAAAATATCATGTGAATGTGAAAGTTTATATAGGACAAACTAGAAGAAATTTATTATTCAGAATAAATGAACACAAAAGAAATGTTAAAAATAATAATATTACCTTCAGCAGAACATATTAATGAAACTAAACACACAATGCAATGGGGAAAAATTGTTATTTTAGCACAACCTGAAAATGTTATTATTATGAATATACGTGAATCTATTGAGATAATGAAATATAAAAAAGTAAATTTTATATATTGAATAAGGATGATGGACCTGATGGAAATGTTGTCAGCAGATGGCGTGAAAATATTTAATATGTAAATTGGTGATTTTGTAATGCTATAAATAAATGTTATCCTTACTAAACATTGCATTCCTGAGGATGACGTAATAAAATGCGTCGAAACATGTTGAGTGTTTGTTTGTTTTTGAATTTCGCGCAAAGCTACACGAGGGCTATCTGCGCTAGCCGTCCCTAATTTAGCAGTGTAAGACTAGAGGGAAGGCAGCTAGTCATCACCACCCACCGCCAACTCTTGGGCTACTCTTTTACCAACGAATAGTGGGATTGACCG